TGAAGCTCTTACAATGAGAAAATGGAGGGGACACATCTGGGTGGGAGGGGGAAGAGGGAGGAGGGAGGGAGGTTTTGGTGATGGGACACAATAACTAACTACATTGTATATTGACAAAATAAAAATTAAAAAAAAAAAAAAAACAACTTTGTTCCTGACCCTCTTGAGATATCACTTCTTTCCAGGCATCTAGGCCCAAAAGGCCATTCAGCTGGAAGCCTGGGGGCTCCTGGGGCAGCCTTATTTTCATTCAGGCTCCCTTTCTGCCACTTGTCTCATGTTGTATGTCAAGAGTTAAAAGCTGTCTGATCAGGCTGCATTCGAGCTGGCAGAGCAGTCACTAATTCAGTTCAATGATTTTTCCATTGCAGCTAGAATCAGGCAGAAGGAAAGGAAGATGGGAAAAGTACTGGAAAGAAGAATAATGCAGGAATCCCAGTGGTCCTCAAGAGAATAATCTTATCTAGAAGCAAGGGACAAGTGGCACATAAATAAGCCCTAGGACTGGCTAACCAGATGAGAAATAGGCCAGTGGAGCCTGCATGGTAACTTTCTGCACTTTGTGCTGTGACCCAACTCATCTCCCCATCCCTGCAGATAAAACCTGAGACCATGAGGAGCAGCCTGACCGTGGTGGGGACCCTGTGGGCCTTCCTGTCCCTTGTTACTGCAGTTGCCAGTTCTACCAGTTACTTCCTGCCTTACTGGCTCTTTGGATCCCAGCTGGGAAAGCCAGTATCATTCAGCACATTCCGGAGGTGCAACTACCCTGTGCGGGGGGAAGGACATAGTCTGATCATGGTGGAAGAGTGTGGACGCTATGCCAGCTTTAGTGCCATCCCAAGCCTGGCCTGGCAGATGTGCACAGTGGTGACAGGTGCTGGCTGTGCTCTGCTGCTCCTGGTGGCACTGGCTGCTGTCCTGGGCTGCTGCATGGAGGAACTCATCTCCAGGATGATGGGACGTTGCATGGGAGCAGCGCAGTTCGTGGGAGGTAAGACTGTGTCCCTGGGATTGGGAAAGTTGGAGAGCTATGGTGGCGGGCAGGAGTGGGGCATGTGGCCTTATGGTAAAATCTACTCTCAACCCCTCCTCTTTGTCCACCTCTAAGGCTATGAATGGGGACACCTTTGAAATACCTAGTCTAGGACTTCCCAAAGTGCAATCTACAACAGAGCTTTATTCATAACAAAATTGGCTAGTAGGCAGAGTTGATATCTGTTGTTGAGCTTCTATTTTTATCACCTTTTTCTGCCTGCAGAGTGCCCATTTAAAAATATCCAAGTGTTTTTTTTCCAGGGGCAGCAACATATACTCTAGTACTACTGCTTCAGTATAAACTTGATCTCTAAGAGCCCTGCTCTCTGGTAGTTATCTCAGAGCACAGCAACTTGATAAATACATACACACAGGTGCTAATTACTAACACTTCTCACCAAAGAAATACATCTCTAATAGTGAAATGCTAGGTACCAGACCTAAAGTCTGGTAATGTTGATGCTTTCTGGTTCCCTCTTTCCTCAGAATCATAAAAGTTTTAAATCTAAATTACCATTCTAGCCTCCCTCATCTCTGAATTTTCCCACTTGTTAGCCACTAATGGTTTTCTGGCCACATTGGAAAGTAGAATTAGGTTGGTTTCTTTTTTCCCCTTGAAAACCATGGTATCAAACCAGATGCTAAGGCTGACCTAAGCCAATGATTTTATTTCCCTTTGGGAGTTCTGTGGTCAACAGAAATGAGTCAGGCTCACCTTTCACTAGTATTATTGGGCATGCTATAGTTAATTCAGCACTTTTATGGATACATTATTTCAGGAAGTGACACTTGACTGGCAGGAGAGGAGGGTTCTTGTAATTCATATTTATAGGCCTAGGGCCCAGCTCAGTGCCTGGCACACAGCAGGTGTTCAGTAACTGTATAAAAAATGAATGCATAGCTAAGGCAATATCTAGTGTATGTTAGGATATGCTGGACATGTGAGACCTGGGTTTGTTCACATCTCTTCCTTTTTTTCCAGGCTTCCATGCAAGGCTAAGCTAAGCTCTCTTCTCTTCTGACATGAGAGTGACAACTTAGCCTCACTTGCATTTCTAAGAGTTTCCAGTAGACTGAGGAGAGGATAACTAGCAGGAATCAGAAGGCCAGTAGCAACAGCCTCCATCAGATTTCAAGCATTAATAGTGGCTCCTACTCCTGGCTTGCTTCTTTTGGGCTTGACTGAGTCTTTTACAAAATCCTCATAGTTCCCCATATGATGCAATTTAGTTGATCTCAACCCTTAGGTCTGGAAACTCAAAGGAAATTGTTGAGGGGGGATGTGGGAAGGTAATGGAGGTTTGGGTACTCACAGGCTGGGTGGGACAGAACTTTGGCTGAGTGGCCGGTATTCTATAGAGGAAGGCAAACCAGGAGTACTATTTTAGTTTCAGATTCCCCATGACCCTTGCTTGTATAAACATGGCTACAGGTTTGCATTTATAGGAGTCTTTAAAATTCAAGAATAAAGTGTCACTTGACAGTAGTCCTAATAAAGGTCAAGACCAAGGGCTGATCCCTAGGCAGGAAAATGATATTGCGACAGAGCTGCTAGACCTCCATGGCTTTTTCATCGTAACATCAGCCAACTAAGACTCATTCTTGCCTCCTTTTTAGAGACTGGTGGCCATAAAGATTATGTCAGATGTGAAAGGATGGTGAAAAGTGCTTGGATGTACCATGTTTTCTAGGAGCCCCTGGGCACTTGGCCATGACCCATGGCTCTTTGGAGATCTTGGGTCTGATCCTCAGAGGTGGGCTTTTCCAGTGACAAGAAGCCAAGCCCAGGCAGCTTTTTGAGCTCTATATAATATTGATAAAAGACACAAGAGAAAGAGCTGTGGGGGTTAAGTTTAAGCTTGTTGTTTGGCCAAGGGGAATTGATTTTGTTGCTCCAGGCCTGGCTGCTTCTCGGCAGCTAGTGCATTAACTGAAATACATTGGGGGAGGAGCCAATTTGTTTCAGGTCTGGTTTATCTCTGCCAGACCCCAAACCACTGAAGAAATGGAGTATCCATTAAGAACTACCCCCTCCCCCTGCCTGACTCCTGTTCCCTGGTCTGGTGGCTGCCCACAGAGATGAGTGGTGGGAAGTGGGAGAGACAGGAAGAAATAAAGATCTGCTGGCCTGAGTCATACTCAGCAAGGTGACCTGATGGGGCCCTTGGGTCTCATTTGCTCCACCTGCAGCTGATCCAGCTGGACAAGCCTAGGGTCCAGAGAGCCTTCCACTGGGACCTTCATGCCCTGCTCCAACCGGTGAAGGAAACATCTGGCCAGGAGATTATTTCAACCCTAGGGATGCTGAAGTTTCCAACCAGCTGGCCCCTGGTCCCTGAGAACATGGTCATTATTCACATTCCCCTGTGTATACATGTGCAAGATGCTTGTGAATTATCCTCTATCTTCAGTGAGAGCTAAACAAAGAATAGGTGAGAAGTAAATATAAGGAACTTCTTGGCAGGAAAAAAGTGTAAGATCTTGGATCAGGTTACTTGAGGAGAGCCAATAATCTTTCTACAGCAGGGATTATATCAGACTCACCTGGAGTGCTTAAAAAAATGTGAACTCCCCAGCTCTCTAGTCTCTTTTTCATTCTGACACACACAGCAACAGGTGGAAGTCTGCATGCTTTCAAAAATCTCCCCAGTGACTCTGATGTGTATGCTATGTTTCCTTTCCCCAAACTCAGGGAGAACTACCACCTTGGACATTTCTTGTTAGGGAGAAAGAATTCAACACATCCAGACAGGCACCAGAGCTTTTCTCCATGTAAGGTCCTAGTGCTACATGCTTCAGGCTGAATGAAAGTTGCCACTGGAGACAGATCAGAGAACTTGATTCTAGGAAGGTTGCTATCTTTCTAAAAACATTTATCTTCCCTACAAACTATGCATTTCCTGGGAAGTCCTTCCAAGCTTCACCAGACCTCATTTTATTTATCTTTACCATGCTATGTAAGGATGATCAAGGTTGCTTTCTGTTTGGGAAATGGTATTCAAAGAAGTTAACCTACATTAGTGGCTAACAACAAGGACTTTGTAGCAAATTGGAGCAGAGCATAGAATATGGTCCAGAGATTCTAACTCCCAGTCCTGGGCTTTATGCACTCGTGCTCTTCATTTTCCTTTTTTCTTTTGGGCAAGAAATGCTATCACAACGTTTTTCAGAGTGGTCCATGAGTCACTTGCATAAGACTCACCTAGATCACTTGTTAATGCAGGTTACTTAGTTCTACAGACCTGGACCTGGGACCTGCTAGTCTGCATTTTATACAGCCTCTCAGGCTGATATATTTTTGAAAATATATTATGAAATATTTCAGACATATGTACCATTCAGCTTAAGAAATATAATATTGCTACTACAGCTGAATCCACCTTCATAATCTGATCACATTCCTTTGTCCCCACCGCAAAGTAACTACTCTCTTAGACCTGTTATTTATCACTCCCCAGCATGATTGCAGGACACAATAAAATTTGAGAAACTCTGCCCAGCTTTGTCCGTGGTGTTGTTTCTTTTTGGAATTCCCCTTCTTCCATTTATGCCTATAAATATCTGTCCATCTCTCAAAGGCCTGGTCCAGTGCAATCTGTCTGTGAAGTCTTCCCTGATCTACTTTCCACATCTCTAGCAAATGTGAGCTATCCTGTAACTCTGAGAGAGAATATGGGGTTGAGTCAATGTGGGAGGTAAGTGGGGGAGTTCCATGAGAAGGGAAACCTGAGATAAAGTTGGAGGACAAACTTGGAAAATTTCCACTGAGTTATGTTTGAGTTGAAGTTGCTGTAAGAGCAGTACACTGAGCAAAATAATAACAAATTAACCTATGCTAGGCTTCTGCTCAGGATAGTAAATTCACACTACCTAATAATCATGTTTGGAAAGCAAGATTGGAAGCCGTGCAAAGACAGGGGACTTGGGGATGTGGGTGGGGAGTGTAACAAAATAGCTGCTCATTCAACTGTTGCATTTGTGGATGAGGGGTAGGGTGCAAACAGATTTGGTAACACCCAGTGAAGAGGCTTTCCCTGCTCAGAGACAAAGACTAGGCACCTAGCTCATTGAGAATGTGAGTTGGGAAGGGGTTATACAGTTGTTGGGATATGGGGAAACAGTAATTCTGGGAGCAGGGCAAGGTTGAGGGTGGCTGGATTCTATCTAGAGGGAAGGTTCCAAGTTCTGTATTAAATTTTGCACCTGAGGCTTGTATTGGTGTTGATGTCGACACAAGGGCTGAAGCTAAGTGCCCAACTCCAGGCCTCTGCTTGGTCAGCACAGTGAATTCGAACTACAGCAACCATGTTTGGGTAGGACATCTGGTACATTTTGTGAAAGGGGATTCTTATGGAGGGGAGCAGTTGAGGAAGGAAAACAAGAAGGCAGCCCATTGGAAATCTGCCCATGTGCAGCAGGGGAGTAAAGATGGTAACACACTCTAAAGGTCTTTATTTTCCTTCCTAGAGGCAGGTGAAAATAGGAAAGTACCTAGCTGAACATATTCAGCTGGAACAGACTTCTCCAAGGGGCATATGTGGTTGGAGGGGTAAAACTGGGAGTTAGCAACAACACAGAAGAGAAGTGAGAGCTGGGGCTACAGCTCATGTGTTGCAAGGCTGGGATTTAAACTAATTTTCTCTGTCACCAGAGCTCCTGCTCTGAACAATTTTAGTGGTGTTGCTACCAGGACCAGATGCATCAACACCATAAAGAGCTTTTAAAATGTATATTCCTGGGCTACAGTTCTGAATCAGATACCTGAGGCTGAAGCCTTAGAATCTATGGTTTTAATACAAATCCCCACTCTTCCAGAAGATGGAAGGGCCTGGCACTGGCAAATGACTTTCCTGTTGCTATCTGAAGCACATCTTCACAGCCCCAAATTGATGAGAACTGTTAGGGACAAATATAATTGAGGATGAATTACCCTATGACTTTATTTTTATTTTTAAT